CATATACTTGTCCTACCTATCCGTATTTTCATTTATTCGTGCCTATTCGCGTATCCTATCTCTGTTCGTATATTTCTACTTCCTACAATACATTACTTCATTAACGTGTAACACCACGAATATAATACGTTAATGACTGTGTTCAGCAGAGAAAGCTTCGCAAAATTCTTCAACACGATTGGTTCTTGCTTTAGGTTCTTATGAATTTAAATGAACTAATGATATTAAATCAAATTTTACAATAATTGCAAAACTGCTTTCTTTGCTGAATGCAGCAGCTAATGCCTAACCATATCCTATCGTGTACTAATAAAGTTTCAGATTACCTAATTGCGATCGTACTAAATAAATGAACAATAAATAATAATAATTAAAGTAGACTTTTAATTTTTTAAATACAAAAAAATTAATAAATAACAGAGCTAATGAGAGCCAGTGCGGATAAGCCATTGCGGATAATGAAGTGCAACTAGAATTTATAGATTAAAAAATCTACAAAACTTGCGCTTCATTATCTGCACTAGCTTTCATTAGCCCTGTTATTGTATTTTAAATCAACAATATAAGAACTCGCAATTTGCGAGTAAGTTGCCCTCCCGAATATTCAGAATTTATCTTTATATATATCTTTCAAAAAATGAGATTGGTGTTGCACACCAATCCTCGTTCAGATCCTCGTCTTTTTTCTGGCCAATATTCTGGCTTAATATGCCAGAGATCGACAGCAAGGAGAAATATTTCTTTTTGCTGCCGACTAAAAGCGTAAAATTTTACGCCTTTGTATGATGCACGAAACACGAACGCGTCGCGAAAAGGCCACCATATTAATCAAATTGATTAAATATTAATTATCAATAATAATAATTTTATTAATACATGTGTGTGAATAAATTTATTCTTTATTCGTGTCTATTCGAAACTAAAAATATAAGTATTTGACTAAAAATAAATCTAAATTTTAAAAAAATCTCTATGAGGGATATTTTGATTTTATAAATCTCAAATATTGTGAAATTAGATCAAATTTCTTAGTATAAATTTTACATAATATAAACAACAAAACTTCAAATTAAATATAAACCGGAAATTACTAAATCGATTACTATCCCATAAAATTTAAGGCCCATGCACGTATTCTTAACGATTCGAACGATTCGTTGCTGAATCTCATCTCAAAACATGCAGAGAGATAAGAAATTCAGATAAATGATGTAAGATCCAAAAGGGAGATAACTTTCCCTTATTTATAAATATCGTATATCGTTTACGTTTTAAAAAATTAAATTAATATAATCATTTTCTGCATAATTTATTATTTCAAAATTAAGTATTTTAAAAGATGCAAAATTCTGAACGCGATTTTTTAAAATAATTATAAAATAAAATTCTTTTATTTCTTGACACAATGAACCTATACTGGATTTTACATCATGTTACTATTTTGACTGGTATAAAATCCAGTTACTACATATGGATAAATTATAAAAGTTTAGG